AAAATTTCATATTTGCCCTCGAAGCTTCGCTTCTCGGCCAAATTCATTTTTTGGACAATCTCTCAGCCGCGGACATTATCAGCCAACATACCAGCCGCCCGAAGGGGTTTATTTACTAAATAGTAGAGAGATTTAGCACCGCGTTTACGTGAAAGGCAATTGACTTCTGTTCTGTGAAAGAAAAGGTGAATGAAATCTTACGAACACGGCAAACGCGAAACAGGTTACTTTCACGCAGAAACGGCAAAGTGCAACCTACAAACGTGAAAAATGGCGAGGAAAACTAGGTCACGCGGTCACTCTTGCTGTTCGCGTTTCACGTAAACGCGGTGCTAAATCTCTCTAGTATCAATGATCTACCACCTTGGGTTATTACTTATAGGTGTGTCGCGATCGTTATTTTGGTTTCTTGTCTGTTTACTAAATGTAGATGATCCGCAAGAGCGTAGAGACACGTGACTGGCTGAACACAATTGAACCTCGGAATGTCCGCGCTGTTATGAAGCGAATCGTAGAGGACGTGACAGCTACTGATGCGCAAGTTGGACAGTTGTACGAGGAGGGAGTGCACAAAGCTCACAGTTCAGGTTTGAGATCGAGAAAGAGTTCTTGTTTTTCTATTAGAGGTGTATATAGTCAGAGACCTTACTGGCGTCTCGGTCAGTTTTCGTAAAGCACTGTTAGAATTTCCGACGAGTATCGCATTTTCAGAGTCTTGAAGTTGTATTTACAGGTATATGAGGCATCAGTTTAACTTGGCCTACGGTGTTTTGGTGTTTCAGACTCCAGTAAGTTCACTTATACATATCCATCCAAACCAAGCCGGAATCAGTGGAGCTACACAGCTAGGTAACGCACCAGTAACGACAGCTCTTTGTATTCCAAAGAGCGCAGTTCTTGACTCATTAACTCAGTTCTTTTTTTCTGTCATCTCGCATTCCTCTTAGACGCTGATAGAGGATTCATGGAATTTCACTGTTTGATCTCTCCTCGTTCTTTGTTTTCCAGCAGCACGGCGTTCGATTCTAGTCTTCTCAGTAATATTCAGAAGTTGTTCTCTGAGAGAATCGAGATCTTCAGTTCGGTGGAATTCTCCAAGGTCTCTGTATTAACTGGAATTATTAAGATAGGATTAAAGGTAAGTCTGACTGTCGACGTTTCCTGCAGTATTTCAATTAAAAAACGATGTATGCTTTTTTGGCGAACCCTTTATACTTATTGATAGGGTGAGTGATGTTTGACGTTTCAGACCCTTCTGGAGTGTGTACGACTTCGAACGTTTGGGAAATACGGTTTACAGCAGATCCAAGTTGACACGCACTACCTACAACTGTACTTATGGAGATTTGTATCCGATGAAAAGTAAGGGCAATGTGTATTAAATTCACGGCAGTTACCATCTATCCTAATCTATTAATACACTCGATGGTCTCCGATAGCCGATCCTAGCAGGATGCAGGACGCATGTCTCGTTTAAATGTCGTATCTGCCTAACTAACCAATTAGTTCCTGTAGCTCAGAGGTAGAACAACGAAGTGTATAATTCTTAGGTATGAAGTCCTCTCCATTTCTAATTTTCTCTGTCCTAAGCTCGTGACAATGGGCGAGTCGCGAATCGTAATTTCCTTTAACCATTGGACTGTATTCTCATCCATTTGGCGTCTCTGTTTTTTGCGGCTTGTCTGCGAGTTTTAGCCTTATCACCGAACGCCCCCGCGATTTTCACCGGCTGCCCTGCAATAATCCTTTTCTTGACATCTGAGCCGGTGAGTCAGTAGTCATGGGTTATCTTTTCTCGTAAAAAAAGAAGCTTAATCAGTCTTCAAAACTGTTTTGGGCTATTGTCCAACTGTTTACTAAGAAACAACTTTCACTACTGACTGCCCCTATGACCCTAAAACGTATTGGTGTTCGTGCTTGAAGAATATGGTGATAACCTCTTTGCTATTTTTTGTCCAAGTTTGGTTCACTTCATGTTGGAGGAAGTGGTGAACAGTACCGTCAATAGATGTCTGTCACCAGAACTAATGGAGCCCAGTGTGAGTAGAAAATCATCTTCGTCTGGTTCTTCAATATCGTTCTACCACATCACAGGAAATTGCTATAATTGGTTGTTCTGTTGAATGTCGATGGGCCATCTCTTTCATGCGAGACACGTAGGGTCGGTTAGTAAACGAGGTCTAGCTAAAACCATGGTTTTATGCAATTAGTGGGCCTGATATTTTTCCTATAAGTGGATTGATTTAATTATATAAAGTCAGCTTTCGGCCCTCTTGACTCTGTTCACAAAAATAAATGTTCATAGGAAAGGTTCGGCTAAATTGAAGATGATTTATAAATCGGTTTTCTCGAACAAAGGTCAATAGAGACGACTAATCCCCTCTCCGTTTCCCCTGAAAAATCCGAAGTTTCTTCTCTTTCCCTAGCAATGTAGAGACATCGAAAGAATGAGTTACATGATTATCGCCTCTGAACCAAACAAACCGTAAAGCTATCTCTATTTTATACCCACAGGTGATCGAAGTGATCTGCGAAAGAGGGTGATGGTAGAAGAATGAAAGAATACTCCCAACTTTCAGCCTTGTACAAGAATTTGCAATTACCGGACAGTATTGGACTTGAGATGGAAGGTCCATTATCAGACTGTCAAAATACATACGTACTTCAATCGAATTCCCATCAGGAGGAATCTGCATCAACTAGACAAAGAGAGAAAATCTAGATAGAGTCAAACGTATTGCAAGGGCAAGAGTAACAAGCGAGTCGAACATTTTCAGGTTTATGCTGGATATAATTTTTCATTTTCTGTGAAGTTTCATGAGGTTTTCAAGATTTCAGCTTTTGTTAAAGAGCTCAAGGTGGAAGTCGCATTACTAACATTTTCAGAAAACAAATTATGCGTATACGTATAGAAAGTATTTTGAATAAGACCTTCAAGGGACACAAATGAGGTGTCAAAGGGTAATAAAATATGTGATTTCAAGAATTGGTAAAATGACTTTTAGTAATGAGCTTGCATAACCGACAGTGTTAATAGTACATAACTATTCTTTTTCTCTTATCCCAAATCCTGAAGGTCGACATCCTGTGCGCGTCACGCCATACCGCTACACCCTCCCTTCCTCTGTGCGTGACGATCCTAAATGACAGCAACGGCTAAGTAATTGGAGAAACCTTTCCATATCGGTATTAATTATCCAGCAGAGTTCCGTTATCCAAAATCCCGGATACCTCGAATCTGGAACACGAGGTTGACACCCTTGCACGTCACGCAAACCCTCCCTTGCAAACCCTCCCTTGCCCTGTGCGTGATATGATCCCAGATGACGGCTAAGATAGTAAAAAAATTCCCATATCAACCCTTACGAAACCCATGCCCGTAACTTCACACTTATGAATATTTTTGTCGTTTTGATGATTGCACAAATATTCTGAGTAAAATCGCAGTACCACACAATCGCTGTTTCCAGTGGATGACATTCCTAGACTGTAGAAGAGACATTAAACGATTACAGAACTTCAGGTGTTGTCGTTTTAGTTTGTCCAAAACAGCGTGTAACAGCATTTTATTGAAAAAGGACACTTGCTTTCTTTTAGAGCCTGTTGGAGAGACCCTGTCTTGAGTGTTTTTTAAACCCATTGAAAGGAATAAAACAACTGTTGGGAATTTCTCCACAAATCCATGAGAGAGCTTTTAGGTGATAGGAAGGCACTTATTCAATGCACGGGCAAATTATAGAGGAGACCATTGTTAAAGATTCAATCAACTACCAGTAACAGCTGGTTTAGCTTCCTGAACAAGAATGTGTACAAAAGAGACCAGTACCAACTACCCACATTCATACTGTCTTTGCACAGGACCCCACTGGTATAAAAGCCCATTTAAGAGCCACATGACCCAACCCATTTGAGTTCCTCCTATTTTCCAAATAATTAAATTACCAGGAGTATTGCTACACCCCCTTAATAGGACTATAGCCTATTGCAGGTTACACCACCCACCCCCCACTTGCATTTCATCCAGTTTTCTAAACAGTTTTTTAGTACGCATTAGTGCTCCAGAGCCCTGTGAAAGTGGAGTGCCCAGGAGCACACACAGCAACCTAGTGGGAGTGACATTCTAGAACTAGTATGAGGCCACACATCTCTCAGAATGTAAAATTTTTCTGTACTTCAAAGTCAAGAGGGGATGCAATAAAATTAAGTTCTACAACAGTTCAAATATCAGTAGTGAAATACAACACTGAAGGTTACTGATCAACTGCCCTGACAGCAAATGATGTAAATTTGTTGCTTTAGAGTACTTGCACTCAAGGTTATTGCAATAGATGAGATATAACTTTACACCTCTTAAAAATATAACAGTCACCGCTTTGAATAATTATTAAGTGACAAAATATGCAACTAATGAGGCAGTCTAGATTATTACAAATAAGGTATTCACCATATAATAAAAAAAATCATCTCGAGCTATATCACTTTTCAATCCCACTTTCAATTTTTTTGCTTTTTAAAGAACATCAGAAAGAAAAATAGTTTTCAGTTGGTCTTTTGTTGCAGTAATACAACCATCCTCAAGCTTTCTCAGAAACATGATTTCCACTGTGTGACAACAGAAAAAATTGCTCATTTTTAAACAAAGAAATCAAGTTTCACTTGCACAGTCAATACCAAGCAGGTAGATCTTATTAAAAATGATAAGTAGAGTATTAATTACATCCTGTCAGCAAGGGCTCGTTCATCAAAAACCTGAAAAGAAAGAGATCAAAGTCAAAAAGCATCTCAAAAGGACTTTCATTAAATGTGACATTAAAAGATGACATTAAATATTATTATTACACGACTCGGGCAGTCAGAGGGCCAATAACTAAAATCAACCAATCAAAATGCTCTATTGCCGGTCCAATATTCTCTAAGTATTGGACCGGGCACTGTCCCGAATGGTCCCGAATGATACCACATTTGTGTCCCTTTGAACTTCAGTCGTATAATAAATCTTTTATTAACCAAGCTTGCTCGGGACCGTACTGGAAGAATATCGACCCTCGGTCTTTATTGTACGGACCTCGCTGCGCTCGGTCCGTACTGTCAAGACCTCGGGCCGATATTCTCCCAGTACGGCCCTCGCGCTTGGTTAATAAGANACATATGTTTCATATGTTTGTTGTTGTTTGATTTATCATCTACGGGTTTATGTCGAATTAATTTGATGGCCTGCTCCCAGTTGGCTTGTTAGCTCAATTGGTAGAGCGCTGCACTAGTATCGCAGAGGTCAGTGGTTCGAATCCCGTACAGGCCTGAAATTTTTTTCAGGTCTGATTTTCACTATTGCTCAAATAGTGCTTTACTGCGAAGGATCGTGCACATATACGTTTCATAACCGCAGTTCATACATATGTTTCATATGTTTGTTGTTGTTTGATTTATCATCTACGGGTTTATGTCGAATTAATTTGATGGCCTGCTCCCAGTTGGCTTGTTAGCTCAATTGGTAGAGCGCTGCACTAGTATCGCAGAGGTCAGTGGTTCGAATCCCGTACAGGCCTGAAATTTTTTTCAGGTCTGATTTTCACTATTGCTCAAATAGTGCTTTACTGCGAAGGATCGTGCACATATACGTTTCATAACCGCAGTTCATACATATGTTTCATATGTTTGCTGTTGTTTGATTATTATTATTATTATTATTATTATTATTATTGTTATTATTATTATTATTATTATCACAGAGAAATCAACTGAATGCTACGTTCTAATCAAGCAGCACAGGGCGAAAACTGTAACCTGTGAGCCATGGAGTAAAAAATAAATGTACATTAACTAATCCTAAAAACTTTTTACGTTGTGTCTACGGTCCTCCTTCTAACAGGAACTCAAACTGCCACCTTGAGAGTCTGGGCAATGTTCAACATGCCCGAGAGCACTGCCCTCTGCATCTTTCACACTACGTCTGTGCTTCTGCCTTCCACAGCTCACGCATCATGACATTCAGCTCCCATGACTACTTCCTGAGGGTATCCATTATGATGTTATATTGCTTTACCTCGTAGCCTGGGAACTGCTGCCTTAGTTCCCAGCAAAGGGGTCCGTACTTCAGTGTCTTCTTTTCATCCTTTCTTGTCTGATTGTTAACCCGCGGGCAGCTCATTTCCAGCGTCACAACTCTCTTGCACATATGATTTACAATGCGTGCATCCACCCTATTGCATCTGGCCTCTTGTTAATCAGCATATATAGGGACATCCCAATAAGCTTTAACATTCTCTGACTCATACACGGGCTTGGGCTTGTCGGGTGAGTACCAGGGTGATATCTCATCTATAACTCCCTCATCATACAACAGTGCATAAAACAGTACCTTCAGTGCTGCGTCATGTCTAGAGAGATAATTGCTCTGGGCCCAGCGCACTGCATCCTGACAAGATATGAGCCACGCTCTCTGGAGTCTTACCGCATAATCTGCACCTCACCTCGCCTTTCCCGCTTGTGTGGGTCTTCTGACTTGCATATACTCGCATTGGCAAGAGCTGCTCGTATAGCTCAACGAGTCCAGCAATTGTGTGTGATGGGCAGTTCTTCCACTCTGTGAGCCACCAGAAACACCCATCGGCACTCAACCTCTCATCCTCCAGCCTGGTAGTCACTAGACGCCCTTGCCATAGTTGGTTTCTGATCTCATCCTCTAACTTCTCAATTTGGCACCTCCACACCCCCTTTCTTGATCCCTTGCACGTGTTCCAAATCCAATTCCAGCCCCAACTCCTCTGTGCACTTAGCCGCTTTCTTTATTATCATTATTGTTATTATTATTATTATTATCATTATTATTATTAAAAGACAAAGAATTGTCAGGGTATTACCTTTTTCAGAGTGTTACCCATTTGTGCTGGTGATAACGTCACAGTAACACCTGCATCTTTAAGAGCTTTTATCTAAAGGAAAACAATGATCACTGCAGTTAGTGCTAAACATAGACCTAGATGGCTATGTTGTGTCAACAATATCAATAATAATGAACAATCAACTGAAATCTGATCGTAGAGTTTGATGTTTACTAGAATTATAAATACATACAATTCATGCAATATTGGTTTTTGCTTCCAATTTAACGTGGAATTCCCTCATCGGCTAACAGATTTTCCTTACATCACATAATTGAATAAAAATGAGAAAAAAAGAACACGACAGTATAGCTTGTTTTTATCCTGAGTGCAATACAAGAGATGCAAAACAATATCACTTAGCCTTATTTTCAACTTGCAATTCCACAGTAAATATCTTGCTTTATTGACCAATCAGAGTGTGATATCTTATTCAATTGTGCAATTCTATAAACAATAGGTACCATACCTTGAGTTCAGCAGTTCCTTTACCACCAGCGATAATTGCACCGGCGTGACCTTAAAACAGTGCAGAGAAACAACATAAGTCAAGAAAGAAATTATGTCTAAAACAATCCTAGCAAGAATTAATTGATTCTGATTAGTTATTTATTATTGTATCTGTCATGCAACTGGTATATGGTCACGTTGGTGTCCAATTACAGCTTTCTGATGCTCGATAACTATAACTGAGCGCCTTTGTCACTAATGCACCAGTTAAGTGCTCTTTGATGGCTTCTTTCTTGTAACTTTCAACAAGATGTACAAAAAATTCTTCCCAACAAAAAGTTTTATTAACTCTCTACACCTCAAAATTTTTATTACCATTACTTGTTAATAGTACTTAATGACAAACTCAACCTCGCTGGTTCATTTCAGGTGTCTAATTGAGGGTATCTGATTTCAAATTGCCCTATGTTGGTCAATTTTGGAATTACTTGACTACCTATAACAAAACATAGCTCTAATGTTGTAGAAACAATTATATATAATGTTAAACTACGGCTGTTTCAAGAAAGGCTGTCTGAAAAAAGGACACAAGTACTTATGACAATCTTGAAAGGTAACCAGGGTACCTGGTAATCAATGAATTGTGATAATTCCAACAATTAAAAGATTTCATCAATCTGCCACGCCCCATCCTTAGAATCACACTTTTTCACACTTCAAGGAAATCTTGAGGTCAAGGAACAATGACCTGAAAACTACCCACACTAAATTTCCAGGTTGTTGCATGCACTTTTATGCCCTTTTTCTCAACCACCTTTGTCAAACTAGCTGTATACAGCTGTACACCGAGTAGAGAGCAAAAAAAAAAAAGTCACAAAGTGTTACAACAAAAGACAAAAGTTCTCTTCACCCATTCTCCTTCCAGGAGGTGCGGTGACCCCAGCAATGAATGACACTACAGGCTTGGCATCCTCTCCCTGATTATGCTGTTGAAGAAACTCAGCTGCTTTTTCCTCAGCACCTCCTCCAATCTCACCAATCAGGACAATACCTGTAATAAACCAATACAATATTTGAATAAAGGCTGATAGTTTTGAAAGAAACTGTTTGGGGCTGCGTCTGTGGGGGTAACGAAATAACTTGGATATATCAACAAAGTTGAAGTGGTAAATTGGCCACCGTAACGATTACAAAAGCTGACGTTTCGAGCGTTAGCCCTTCATCGGAGCAATTTTCAATCCAGCCCTTTGTTTGGAGCAATTTTCAATCCAGCGTTATATGAGAAGCTGGATTGGTTCTTACCTTCTTACCTATGATCTAATGGAGGACAGAGGCATAGATAATGTTACTAATAACAACATTATTTTTGTTTTTAATCATTTTAATCATATAAAACAGATAGAATCCATGTTGCCATGTCTCTGTACAGTAATTGATCACAGAAGATGTCAAAATGTGGTAAGAACTTCAGTGACAAACTCAGCAGTGCATTAAGTGTCACCTCTAACTTCTTACAATATTCAACGTCATCTTTGATCTATAACTGATGCATGGCAACATTGAATCTATTTGTTAATTCTAACACCTGACCCCAAACTCAGTAAGAAAGTGTAACAGACGAGAATAGGAATTTATAAATCTTGGAAAGTGAAAATATATATCAATTAATTCTAATTCTTGACAAAACCAAACCTAAGTATCACATGCATTTTGTTTACAGTCATGCATTTTAGAGCCAACTGTGAACTGTTTTCAGTTTAATGAACATCATGAGAGAAGAGATGACATGACCACATATTTAATGGTTTTAAAGCAAAAAAAAAAAATGTTCATTAGCAAAGCAAATTAATACCTTCTGTCTCTGGGTCTTTTAAAAATACATCTAGGCAATCCATAAAGTTTGTTCCATTAAAAGGATCTCCACCAATACCTGTAATTAACATATGAAAAATGACATTGCATTGAACAAAAACTGGCCAGGAGCTTAAAAGTTCAGTGGATAGTTTAAAACAGCAGCAGGACAATTACTGCAATCAGATGACAATTCTAAACATGACTGCAATTTATCAAAAAAAGTCAACACAATGATCTTATCAACATTTCTCAAACTCATAAATAATTCATCAAGTTACAAATCAATCACGATACGCCAATTTGGCCACATGTGTGTGTTTAGAAAACCCAATGAAACACTGGACAGAGGCTTTTCCACTATACTTTGATGAAATATCAAACCCTAGAGCTTGATAAAATGTCAAACCCCACTGATGCCAAAATCAGTCAGAATTTTTTCATTGTTCTTAGCTAATGATGCACGATTGAAAAGCAATTTCAAAAACTTGTGCCTTGTGTTTCATCGGGGTTTTCAAACACTCGAAAACAATAAAAGTACTTGGCCTACTGCCTCGTACTTTCATCAGTTTTCTCATGTTTGGAAACCCAGATGAAACACTCACACTTGTTTTTGAAATATTACTTGAAAACCATTTCAACAACTTCACATTCTAACAGAAAATGATGTGTTTCTTTTCACATATACACTCAACAAGTATTGATAATTCACTCAATGAACACGAAAAACATCAAGCCTTATAATCAATCCTACATACCTACACACAGAGACTGTCCAAGCCCAACCTCAGTCGTCTGATGGACAGCTTCATACGTTAGAGTTCCTGATCTTGACACAATACCTATAACAAATGCAGAGAAATTTTTTTTGTTAGGATGTAACAAGAACACATGAATGTACTTTACTGTTTCTATTTGTTTTACTTTTCATGAGACAAACCAGCTGACCATTCACACCAAATCAAACCAAAGAGGAACACAGCACTTGTTATTTAGCCTCCAAGGACAGCACTACTTTGTTGATACCAAAAACCATTTAATGTGTTCCATTCAATATAACTTTTCTTTATAATTTCACCTTCTGACATGAAGTAAAGAGAGTAGAAAGAGCATGACTTTGTTTAGTGATAAAAATAAGCAGTCATAAAAGTGAAAATTACTGACCTATTTTTCCAGGTTTGTGTATGTGACCTGGCATGATACCAATTTTACACTCTCCTGGCTGCCAAGCAATGAACAACAAATGAGAAAAGTTGACAAAAAGATAAAAATAGTTGTGACTAACAACAACTGAACACTAGCAATATCAGTAACCTTGTAACCATAAGCTTCTCATTAAATACATTGTACCTGTTATTAGGCTTTCACTCAAAGAGTGATGGCAAGTCTAGTACCATGTTGTAAAAATTACCAAATTAACAATGACATTATTTCCTCCTCAAAATAATGTAAATGTAATTACATTTACCTTGATTATTCCTGGGCAATTAGGACCAACCATTCTACATTTATCTTGCCGTTCTAATTTGTGTTTGATTTTCACCATATCTTGTTGAGGTATTCCCTCTGTTATGCACACAATTAAACCAATTTCAGCTTCAATTGCTTCTAATACAGCAGCTGCAGCAAACGGAGGTGGTACATAAACCACTGTGGCATTTGCACCAGTTTCATCTTTGGCCTAAAAGTTAAACAGTTATAAGACTGTCTAAATACATATAGTTTTTTTTCTACAATTTCTAAAATTACAGCTCACCTTTGAGGATAATTGCTATACTTGGTTTTCATTCACATATCAAACAAAATTTATTTCGCTAAAAAATTTTGATTAGATTCCTCCACAGGAAAAAAGAACTCCTCTAAAATGTGCCCCATTCCCAACGTACAGCTTCATAGCTCAGCTGGTAGTAGTGTCAGTATCTTTGAGGCACTGGTTCAAATCCCCCTGAAGCCTGAATTTTTTTTTAAGGCTTCTTTTCGAAAACTGCTTAAATTGTAGCTCACCTGGAACGATCATTGCTCTACTTGATTAGCATCCAAGTTCTCCTTACAATATCAACCTTGAATTACTCATTAAGGTTGTGAGAATAAAGCATATGGCTATCAACTAAAGAAGCTCTTGATAGTTAAAAAAAAAGTCTCAATGTCAACACCTGACACATTACTGTGCATGTAAAGAACTGTATAGAGAATGTGCATACTGATGTTAGGGTATTAAGGGTAAACAATTAATGTACTATCCAATCAACAACACTAGAGTGAGCTATAATAGATTTTAGTCTCCGCACTGACAACTTTTGACAACCCTGTTAAGTGTCTCCGGTCCTCAGGATCTTACCTCTTTCACACTGTCAAATACAGGAAGCCCTAAGTGAGTCTGACCACCTTTCCCCGGAGAAACACCCCCAACCATCTGTGTTCCATAAGCAATTGATTGTTCACTATGGAAAGTTCCCTGGTAAGGTAAACCAAAGCACAAGGTCAGTTTTAAAACCAAGCCCATGAGAAATAAAAATAAGTTACCAGAAGAAGAAAAGTAAAATATTACAAATACCTATCTCACTTAAAGTTTAAATTAAAAATACCTCAGGAATATTAAAAAGGTTACACCTTACCACAAAATCACCAAACAGAGATTGTCAACTTGGAGACTTCTACTGCAAATCTTGTTGCAGAAATCTAACCAGATCAAACCTTAACTCTCTATCATTTCATGTTAAGCAGTCCTTTGACCTGATGCTATTATGTCTCTTTACAAAATTATTTGGTTCAGTGTATCATACCTGTTTTCCAGTAAAGCCTTGACAAATAACTTTGGTGTGTTTACCAATTAAAAGATTATTCCTGGTACTGTCATAGTTGTGGCGAATTCCTATTTGTTCCAGGCTGACACCTGTATTATTGGAATATTATGAAATGAAGGCTTCAGTAACTTTTGCCATTTGCAAATCAGATTCTCAAACATTACACAAGAATTCAAGTTGAAATCTCCTTTACTTTTGGTCTCCTATTCCAAGAAGAATTTAACAGGAAAGACAAGTAAAGAATTATTTACATACTGAATATGGAATTCAGAGAGGAACTCTACATAATCAGAAACTAGAAATAATTTTATTCTACCAGAACAAAGGGCACCTCATTGCCACTTTCTGCAGAAGCCAATGCTATTGTGTTGCAAGTCATAGGACACATTGCCAGGGAAATGAGAAAGTAGATTTCTTGAAACAGTATAAGAGATGGACAGATGTGAAAATTCCTTCTTTAAAAATAGCTATAAGTGACACAATGAAAACAACAACCTCAAGTTTCCCACAATTTCCATGACAAAAAAAATTATGTGAATAGTATTTCAAAATGCATCCAAGAAAGAAAGGGGGAAAAAGACTGAGGAGTAAGAAAGGCTCAACCGGCACAGTCGATAAAACATAACCATGCATTATATTATCTGTACAAGTTCTGTGTACTTTTGCAACACTACAGCTTGTTCTCGCCAAATTTCCAAATCCCACTAGGATGTCATTGCGTAGAGAAAAAAGAAACCAATCCAATAATCTATGCAAGTGAGGATAGCCATAGCACCACAACGATTAAGTCAAAGTAGAGCTATAATGACAAATATTGAGCTGAAATTGTCTGCTTTGAGTATTTCTTCGTATCATTTGCAAGAGATGCAGGCAGTAACATAAGAGTAAGACGACCTGAGCCTCTACCACCACAACCTCTTTTGATACAGCTATGCAAAAATATAAAAAATTCAGGCTATCACTTCAGAGGGAAATGGCAATATAACATTATCGCTCACCAAATCGACGAAGTGCCACGCGAAACGCCATCTTGGAAAGAGCCTTCCCTGGAGGCTATGCGAGTAAGGAGAAATCAGCTTGCAAAGGACTATGGGAGGTGGCAAGTTCAGGCATGCAAAGCGCGGTTAGGTTTGATTGTTAGAAATTGTTTTTATTTGTGTTCGTGTTATCATAATGGATTTTACTCCCGAAGAAATTGATCTCAGCTCTCCATGCTTTTTGGTGGAGAATTCGCAGTCTCAGGAAACCGAAACAATCTTTCGATCAGACAGTGTACGTGATTTGGCGATTCTGAAACAGTTGACTCGATTATCAACCAGCCGGACTGATCATGCAGCGGGCGTCTCTTGTGACGATCTGTCGTTTCCTACAAATTGTGCCGCTATCAGTTGTTCTACTGTTAAAGGAGAGGGTGCAGGAAGAGAGGAAGGTGAAACAAGCCGGCAACAGGATGATCGCGGCCAACATGGACAAGGACGGGATAGCGGCGGAGGTGATGATAGAGGAGGTAGCGATGGTGGAGGAGGTGATGATAATGGGGGTGGGGATGGGGGCAATGAAGGTGGCGGAGGGGATGCCGATGGGGGGGAGGGTAATGGTGGTGGTGGTGGTAATGATGGTGACAGTGATGAAAACAACGAGCAAGATCCCAGTACAAATGAAGAAGAATCTCCTCATCCGGAGGAGCCTTCCTCATCAAGTGATGCACTACCAGAGCTAATTCGCCCAGAAGCTGGTGTCTTCTCAGAACCACTGGTGCGAGTTGTGGTAAAAGATGAGGTACCTCCCAAACTTTATGGTAGTGGGGAAGGGAGAAGTGGAGGAAGTATACATGACTCTAGTGGCGATACATGTAGTAATAGCCAGGTATCAACTGGCATTGTTGGTGAGGGGGCGGATGTTGCTAATGACTTAGGTGAAGTATCTACTGCCCTTGTGGATGAAGAGAAGAAGTCATCAAGCTCATCAAGTGTTGGTAAGAAGACTGAACTAATACTTTTCCTTTTCTTTGCCTTATAGTATGTGCAGACTAACCTCCAATCTAAAATATGAGTCTATCCTTTGGATATACAATAAAACACCTAATATTTTCTTCACCCCCCCCCATAAAAAGTTTTTGATCAGGTTGAGGGCAACAGTGACACTTAGTGGAAACAGAACATTCTTACATGAGGATGTCTGACAACATTCTTTTTCTTGAAGTTTTCAAATGTTGCTTTTGTATCCAGCCCAGGATAAGTTTTGCAGTAAGGTTATTTGATCCCTGACCACCCAATAGTAATTGAATTTAAAGCAAGCAAAGTTCAAATGCCTGGGGTTGTCTGGGAGGAAGGAGGGATGTGGAGGCTACTAATTGTTAGATGCATTATATCAATTAATTTTACAGAGTGTTTACCATTTACTTTTAAAATAATTTGTCTTTTTTTTGTACAATACACAGGACATAAGTCTGATCATGGCTCAGCCATCAGCAGCAGCAGTTACCATGGAGATCTCAGCAACTTGTCTAGTGAAAGCAGCCTCCAAGTATCCCCAGAAGTTCGTAAACACCTCCCACTATTACTGAGGAAACAATCAACTAGTGACACCAGCACCAGTAGTGCTGGGTCAAAAGAGGAGAAAGTTCATGGCAAAGTTTCTGGTTTTAAGCTGTGGTCGATGGAGGGAGAGCCAGAAGGTTGTTCTTCCCAAGAGGACTTGTTTGCTGCTTCTCAAGGCCATAAGGAAGGGACAACAAGACAAAATCTGTCAGTTGACTTGAATTTACCACAACACCAATCCACTCCAGTAGATGGTAAAAACATTAGAGAATCACATCCTTGTGAGAAATCACTATACAAACAAGTGCTCACTTCTAAGCAACGTACATCAACACCAGTTGAAGGTGGTGGTGGATTTTTCTGTACCCCTCCCTCTCAAGGAACACCAATTAATAACATGGCTTTTCAAAGCTTGCATTTTTCTGGAGAGCCTAGTGTCAGGGAGTCTTCATCTTCATCATCAGATAAGGTGCATCCTTCACCAGAAGGCTACAACTCAATTCCAGCTTTAGAGCCATCTTCTCCTTCAGCTGGTGATGAAGAGCAACTAGAAAAGAAAAGTAACAGGTAAAAAGAATGATGCAAATTTATATGTTTAAAGGAACATTGCACTCCTTTCAGGTGGGATCACATCATCACATTTCACTTTTCAATATCTCCTTCATCAGTAGCAGATCTAGACCACAAGACTAGGGGGAACCTTCTCTTAAAATTGTAACCTGTTTCCCTAACTTGAACAGTTTACCCTGGTGCTGTCTCAGTTTACAGAGAAAGTATAATAATTGTTCATTAACGACCTAGGAATACAGTTTAAAAAAAACATCAAGATGGTAGTCCATATTAAACCTTTAGCTCCCAAGATCCAATTGTTGATACTCCCTTCCAGCTGCTTCACATTTCTTTGTACATTAGTAATGAGAATTTAGCGTTGGATCGAGAAAACAACTTCTACCTGACAGCTATGAGTATTCTCATCACCCATTTGCTAGATAATGTATGGATATTGTAGGGAGAAGTTACAAGTTAATCATGTCTGGGGGAAGAGTCAGAACGGTGACAGTGTGAATCAAACTGTGATTTGCTTCTATACTTGGGAGATATAGTAGCCTAATGATTAGTGGACCGGACTCAGAGTTGAGTGGACTCAGTATTCCAGACCTGGCCGTGTCATTGAGTTGTGTTCTTGGGCAAAAATATTCTCACTGTGCCTCTCTCCATCCACGATTATAAATGGCTACAAGGCTGTACTCTAAGAAAAATTGAAGGGAGCCCAGTGCTTTGAAACTGTGAAATCCAGGGTGTCCAGCATATGCTTTTTATGAAAAAACTAAGATTCCTGAGTTTGCTCTTAAAGAGCAAAAGTAAGGCATCAGGGGCTACTGGACACTGCTAGACCATAGCCTTGGGGTAATGACAAATTGTCGGGGAAGCCTGATGAAATGCTGGGAGGCAACCTTGCAACTGACTAGCTTCGCATTCAGGGGGGAGTAGTAATACTCCTAGTCACCTCATACTAAGGAAACCCAGATAGACTCTGGCTGGGTGGACCACTAGGCTCAAGAACATACTTTTTTTTCTATAATTACACATGCGGATCACCACAGTAAACAGAACCTATTTGAATTCATACATCTTTTCAAGTATGAACATATTCATGGATACACAAAACAATGTAGTTCTTGTTTTAATAATTAATTTGTGATAATTTATTTTTTATATACTTAGGAAAGAGGGAACCTATGAGAAAGAGTGTGAAGACAGACAGGTTCAAAATTCTAAAAGCATCAACAGATCAGTTGAAAATGATATAGAGAAGGAACAGTCAGAGATTTCAAGAGCAGCGGCAGAATTGATGCATTCATTTGATTTGTCACAGAGCCAAAAAGAACATTTGCAAACACCAGTGTCTCCCAGGCTCAGAGAATCATTAGATGATGAAAAAGTTGAGTTACCACTCTGGCAGCAAAAGCAGCAGCAAGAGGCACTCCAGCAAGCCAGTGACACCAATGAAAAGAAGTCAAGTAACAGTTCCTCACAGGGATCCTCTCGTGAGGACTCATCAAAGGATGAATCATCATCACCCCAACTGCAGCAGTGGCAACCAGTTAGTAGTGCTTTGGGTACCAACAGCTCAGGTCCTGCACTTTCAAAAGAGGAATCTACCGCACTGACACCAAATGGTGCCAAGGAGCCACGTACAGTTCTCATAAGTGACAGCTTCCTTAACAGTCCTAAGCCGCTAATTTCTGATTTACCAGTAGAACACCTAGAGGAAAGCTTGCATGAAGAGCAGTTGTCACTGTCCCCATCTTCACTCGTAATAGATCCCTTTAAGTCAACCAAAAGCAAGGCTGCAGGTGCTGAAGGAAGCTTCGCTGTGCTGCCAGGTCCCACACAACCAGAAATGAGTGAAGATATGTTCCTCCCAGTAGTGGTAGAACAGAAAAGCAAGAAACAGAGAAGTATTTCAGGTATTTAGTAGTCTCTATCCTAGGTCTATGGTTTACGCCCCATTGCAAATACACCCCCAACCACCTTGCCAACTTGGAAGTGAACTGGTAAAGGTGGGGGCAAACTTGTTTTACATCAGAGGGCAAACTTGCAAAGTGATAGGAGGTCAACTTGCAATGGGGCAGAATCATCAGTAACCCTATCCTGCTGCATATTTAGGAAAAAGATTACATGTTGCAGTGTGTCTGTCGGTAAGAAAAAAGATTGGCATGCAAGGTGCAGCCAAGTGTGTGATTGATATTCTTACTGCATTTTTAAGTTATCTGTAGTCTATTGCTGAATAGACCCACGGCATCATGGAATCTATTTGTATTATATGGAAAAAAAAAAGAAAATGTTGTTAATGGTGATGTCATCCATGCATCTATCCTCCAATAGATAATAACTAGGAACCAATCAAATCAGCTTATCACATAATATGTTGTATTTATAACTAAGGTGTAACTCCAAGGGCAATACAGGAATTATCAATAATAAACTCACTTAAGCCCACTACAGACTATAAATTAGCTCACCACTGACACAATCTCAGAGTTGTCTCTACATCTCCTTGAAATGAACAAACCTCCACAGTAGCTCTCTCTCTCTCTCTCTCTTGGTGTGGTTCAATCAATCAATCAAATCAATCAATCAAATCAATCAAATCAATCAATCAAATCAATCAATCAATCAATCAAGCTTTATTTATGGTATCACTTCATTCAAAATTAAAATGCTCTTCCAGTGGGCCGTTTACATAACAAACATTTTCAAAGAAACTACATTAATGCTAAAATATTTCTATATATTAAGAAAATCTATCCTATAATTAATTACACAAGAATCAATCAACCTTAAAGGTACATTAAATAACTGATAAAAGTAAATTCAATCTCAACTCCCTCAAGGCAATCCATGGTTCAAGAAGACAGGGCAGACCTCAAAGAGTTGAGATTTATTTCGTCTTTAAGCACATTTTCTAGGCCATTCCACATGACTGCTCCTAATATAGCTAAAGGCCCGCTTAGCAGATTCAGCACAGCGCCTTGGTACAAAAATGTTGTTCGAGGCACCTCACACATTGTAAGAATGAACCTCGGAGGTTGCTTTAAACATGTCCTTTAAACTCTCAGGGTAAAAATTATTTAGAGATTTAAAAATACTAATTGCAAGCTGTTTAGAGCATCTTTGCTCAAGCGTATCCCATCTCAAGTCGTGGAGGATATCCACAGATCTTGTATTATAATCACTAAAGTCAGTCACTCCTGACAACAACAACTACCGGGTACCAGTACTATTACTACTGAGTTCTTATATACATTATCTACAACACAACTATTCACGTAACTTCATAACCTAATGAAATGTTCCAGAAAGTTCCAGGTATGAAGATAGACAGTTTGCGTATGCATGTCAGCATGACTAGGCATCCTGGAAAATTAATATTTTATGGTAACTATCCATAACATCTTAACAACACCCCCTGGCTGATTAATTATTGTATTTTCATCACTTGTCTCAGATGTTGCATAAAAACTGTAAGAAGTCAAATTAAAATTACCCTGGTGAGTCAAAGGTGTTTCATGAATTTTTCCTCAGATGGATCTCCTGACCAGTCCGTGGAAGAACAGAATGTGCAAGAGGTCTTAGATTCTCAAGACATAGTGATGCCATTCTCATTGCATCTAACGCAGTCGCAATCAAACATGGGAAGCCAGATGCTAGCAGACATCAGCCAGGGAATGGAGGGAATTCAGAAGGTAAAACAACACAGAGAATGATAGTTTCTACTTACAGTATCACTCATCAGTACTATGGAAAGTTTAAAGATAACAGGGTGGAGAATATAAATACTGATGTTAGGATGTGAAGGGTTAAAAATCCATGTTCATTACACGCTTGTCGTTAACATAGTCTTTCAAGAAGGATGATGTATCAACATTTTGAGGAGAAGTTTCATTTTCATAATTTTTTGGAATTTAAAGTTTGAGAAATGCTCCCTTGGAACTTGTCTGATTGTTTGTTTGTTGTTGTTGTTTGTTTTTTTTTTTTTATCTTTCACAGGATGTGATTGTCAGTGAAGTGACAAATAACGTCACCGTGTGCAAACTGGCAGAAACAATTCAAGCTGAAGAGACAGGGACTTTGACCAAACAAGACTCCGGAAGCCAGTCTATTTTAGCTCATCTGAGGACACCACTTCCTACAATGGCTCTTGCTCAAGGTAATAATGACAAAGAACAACTGACTGTGGAGGTTCCAACCAAAGCACCGAAGAATGTTGTGAGATCTATAGAAGGCATTAACGAAATTCATCGCGAGCAAGGTACCCACCCCTCTCCCGATCAGGGTGATGTAATCCACCCTCCTGAGAAGACTGCACTTGCCGAAGAATCAGGGGGTGTCACTCAACCTGTGGAGCACGAAGCGCCTGATGATCTTGTGCAAGAACAGGCGAGCATACCGGAGAGGGAAACTGAAATGACATTCAGAGAGAAAGACACGTCTGATGATCTTGAAAAAGAACAATCAAGCTCAGCAGGTGTTCGTGCAAGGAAACCGATAAAGCCAACGCTCCCAGCAGCAATATTTTCAGAACCCTCCAGTGACTCTGGAACAAGTTTCCATTTTTCCTTACCAAGGGAGCCGCTAAGACCATTGATTTCTACTACCCCACCCCCTTTAAGACCCGTTCGTCAAGACACACCAGACTCAGAGGGGAGGAGTAGCAGACGTAGTACTATCCCGGATGTGGTTCTTCCTGTGGTTAGAGAAACACCAGGGATGTCTAGCCAAGGTAGATTTGAAATCTTTTACGTAGAATAATTTCTTACCACCATGACAGAGTCGGGGAAGTTGATTAAGTAATCAGCGCACGTTATTACCCTGCCATTACATGTTAGAGAAGTGGAAATTGGAGTTACTCAAATTGACAGTAGTTTTTTTCAATGATTGTCATCACGGTGTAATCTTGTTTAAACGAGAGCTCAAGTCACAGAAAATGTTTCTTAGGTGATGCGTCATTTATTACTATAGTCAATGATAGTGCGAGAGGAAACTCGTTAACCTTGACTAGGCTGAAAGTCGAGTACAGTCAAGCTAGGGGAAAATCCTCTTGGTAGCTTAGAAGTTTTTGTCTTGGTATTCAATAGTTCCTGATAGACTTGAAGAAGAATTAAGAGATTTCAACTTCTCTTTTGATGTTGCGCAAGAAGGAAGAAAAGACATAATTTTCGTTTCCAGTAGCTAACGTGATGGACACAGGCCTTGTAGTGGGGAGGGGAGGGGGGGGGCCCTGGGGAGGTTGAGCTCTTACCAAGTGAGTATATAATGGTCACATATTTCCAGAATGGCATCGGAATTCTCTAAAAGGAAACAGTTTCAAGAGTTTGTCAATGACATTAAGTCTTTTTCCTCAGAACCAGCTATCCACTTCGAACCCAGCCTACCTCGGGCTTCTACATCGACAGAGAGCTTAGACCGTCCTCATACCAGTGCCCCAGTACCCCCGCGATCAATATTTAGTCGCGCTCGAGAAGCTATCGTCAAAACCAAGAAGAGAGGAGTGGGGGAAGTCCAAAGCGATGACGATCCGTTTGCGTTTACTGCTGACGATGATGTGCCAGAACCCGTGCGAAAAAAGCCAAAACAGGGATCTACTCGTGGGACGCTTGGAAAAGAGACTAGAACAAGAACAGGGGTCGGAAATACTCCGAGCGCCAAAAGAGTTCGCGAAGAAAAAGAGTTTTCCTCTGAGAGTGAAGGATTAGAAGAAGCACTCTCGAAACAAGCCAGAAGAGAGGACGATGAACCGAAACCTGCAAGTGACGAGGCGGGAAAGGCTACATCATCCAGTGTCGTACACTACAAGCAAATCATGTGTACACGCACTGTAACCACGGTAACAACTCAAGTTAAACGAAATGTAACCATGACTATAGTTGATGAGGAATCAGGAAAAGTTGTACAAGTTTTAACCTTTGAAGAAGACGGGGAACCGAAGGTAGAGAGCCAAGAGGAGCGGAAAGAAGAAGTTACTAGATTTGTGGAGACTTCCAATGACGATGGGTTCCGTGTAACAGTTTCCGCGGGAACATCGAAACGAGAAGAGCTCCAGCAAAAGAGCAGAAGTTCTCCGCGAAGGAAGAATGGTAGATCCCCGACTTCTAAACAAGCAACGTGCGCTTCTGATAAAACACGGGCGTTGGTAACATCTGGTAAGAGCAGTTCTGATAGAAGCCCGGAAAATAGAGGTAAAGGAAATAGAGACGACCTGCAAACTAGGGATGAACCTACAGAAATCCCTTCCATCTCAAGGCAGGCTACCGAACCAGTTATAGGGGAGGAATCAAATCTCAAACGCTCCTCATCGAGTGATTCCTCTTTGACACCAGGAACATGCGTGTTAGCCAAGTGGTTGGACGGTTACTTCTACCCAGGAATAATCACTGCAAAGCAGTACAAAAACGGACGGTACTTGGTAACCTTTGACGACGGCGACAAGCGAAGGATTCCACGAGAAAACCTTATCATTAAGGATTTGTTGCCAGTTGGGCAGAATGTTATGGCTCAAGGCGATCTTATAGATGACTTTTATGAAGAAGGGGTTATCGTGGGACATTATCGAGAACGAAACGAACGCGGTTACGAGATACAGATCCAGAATGGCGCAATACGCCGGTACCCGCGTAGTAGAATAATTTTATCGGAACAGCAAGCTGTAGCTGTTTTATCCAGTGATAGTTCGTTTAACGTCACAAGTGGTTCCAGTGTCAGTATTGGTACGCACAGCTTGAGGCGAGCAGGGAGTAGTAACGCTAGTCTACACGATATCTCCAAGTCGGGTAGCATAGGTGCTAAGGACACTTCACGAGACACTAGCTCTAAAGATACGAGCTCAAATGACGAGAAAACGCGGGGAAAACACGCTGATCGCGCTTCACCACGCGGTAGCCCAAGACGTTCAAAAGTGGCATCCGCCGACATCGATATCACACCCAAGTCTACACACAAGTCGTCACACAAGGTCAAGGCGCAAGCTAGACGTGCGGGACAGAGAATCGGTGAGAGCGAATCAAGTTCAGATGAACAGCACGGTAAGGCTGGCGGCAAAAGACGATATGTTAGGAGAGGATTGTCATCTACCTACGGTCCCAAATCACCTGCGAGGCCCGCTGGCACGCTGCCAGCCCAACCTGTTGGGGGACACACGTCACGTAAACAGATGAGAGAAAGAGAGGACACTGGCGAAGTACCGCATCTACCCAAAAACAGGAATATATTTGCTGGTTTAGCCTTTCTGGTGACAGGCGTGACCAGAGACAAGAATGAACCTGAAGAGACGGACAGTGAATCGGAAAGAATTGACTTTAATCGCGATCACTTGAAGCGTCAAATCGAGGCTGGTGGTGGCGTCGTACTGTCCTCATTTCCTCAATCCCAGATCTCTGGCGCAGAGTGCTTTTTGATATCCCACACGCACCAGCGGACACAAAAATATTTCCAGTCCCTCGCCTCTGGAATTCCGTGTGTGTCACACATATGGATTAATGATTGTTGCGCTTGTGATAAGCGTTTGGACTACAAGCGGTACTTGCTACCTGCGGGAGAAAGCCTGGAAGAGGGAGAAATCGTAGAATGCCGGCTGAGAAGAAACATTTTGGGCGGCATGCGAGTAAGTGACGTTTTGCTTACAATACCTGTGCCCCCACGAGGCAGGCGTGTGGGAGGGAAAAGAAATGGGAAAATAGGACACAGGGAAAGCGGAATGGTGGCTCAGTGGCACGTACATTTTGTGTCTGTCCCACCCTCTTTCATCTTCGTTTCTGCCATGCAGGCTACGGGAAATTGAGTTACCCATTCAGTTTACACCTAACCAGGAGAATATTAAAGCTCGAGACTCCTTGAAGGACGTGTAAGATTATGCATGCTTCTAAACAACCATGAAAACGCAAAGTTCTCTGTGTGCGACTCACAACAGTAATCATTACAGCATCCCCCAGGGAAAAACTAGAACTTTTAGAAAGAAATGTTTCCTCTTTTTTTCTGTGTTCGCTTCTTAGGAACATCGGCTGAAAGGGCAGGTTATCTTAGGAAAACGAAGTATATAAAGCCTCTTCGATATTGTCCTTACCCATTAAGAATTATTCCTAAAGGTTTGAAAACTGGTTTCGGTGCAATTTAGAGAATAATGTATATAAGAACGATCCTTCGCAGTAAAGCACTATTTAAGCAATAGTGGAAATCAGACCTGAAAAAAATTTCAGGCCTGTACGGGATTCGAACCACTGACCTGTGCGATACTAGTGCAGCGCTCTACCAATTGAGCTAACAAGCCAACTGGGAGCAGGCCATCAAATTAATTCGATATAAACCTGTAGATGATAAATCGAACAACAACAAACATATGAAACATATGAGTGAACTGCGGTTATGAGACGTATATAAGAACGATCCTTCGCAGTAAAGCACTATTTAAGCAATAGTGGAAATCAGACCTGAAAAAAATTTCAGGCCTGTACGGGATTCGAACCACTGACCTCTGCGATACTAGTGCAGCGCTCTACCAATTGAGCTAACAAGCCAACTGGGAGCAGGCCATCAAATTAATTCGATATAAACCCGTAGATGATAAATCGAACAACAACAAACATATGAAACATATGAGTGAACTGCGGTTATGGGACGTATATAAGAACGATCCTTCGCAGTAAAGCACTATCATCGCCGGGTTTATATCGAATTAATTTGATGGCCTGCTCCCAGTTGGCTTGTTAGCTCAATTGGTAGAGCGCTGCACTAGTATCGCAGAGGTCAGTGGTTCGAATCCCGTACAGGCCTGAAATTTTTTTCAGGTCTGATTTCCACTATTGCTTAAATAGTGCTTTACTGCGAAGGATCGTTCTTATATACGTCTCATAACCGCAGTTCACTCATATGTTTCATATGTTTGTTGTTGTTAGAGAATAATGTTCAAGGAAAAGGGATTTCTTTAACCTCGCCTAACCACACATCACCTAATATTCTCTCATTACTCGGTTTTGTCTTTCACAAGGTCTATCTTCACGGGAGCCAGCCGTTCAAAGACACTTGGTCCAGCGTGTTGCTGGCTGCGGGATGTAATATGGTCGCCAAGCTTCCAGGCCGTGTTGATTACGAATGCGATGTTATCATCTGCGAGGACCACAAGCTTCCCGCGAGTGTCAAACACGCCGCGAATCTGCTTGGGATTCCTATTGTCTCACTGGAATGGCTTTTGCAAACACTCATCAATGGTCGACAGCTTCCTTTTGAAGGTCACCCTAAGTATGATTATCGGTGTAAGAATGCGTGACCTTGGTAAGAACTTGAACGCGTGACCACGTGTTATCTTTGGAAGTGTTCGTCCCTATGTCAAACGTGACAGAAGTGGGTTGACTTTAAAACTGGCCATCGATTCTCAGTGCTCGAATACATGTTGTGATTTTCAAACCTCCCATATCGAGCCTTCGACTTGGTCGGCTTGCCATCTGTAACAATTTAGAAGGCAGTTGAATGTGCTATGATGTTTTAACGCTGGAATACGTGGATCGCATGTAAAGATTAGAAATGTGGGGCAATGGTTTTTTTTTTCTAAAAAAGGAAAGGATGCTTGACTGTGAGTGCGTGTCAGGGCATTTAAAACCCGTCAAATAAGTCTCAACCATGCGTTGTTGAAATTTTGAGTACAGATTTAATTTTTTAGGAAAAGTATCATTTTATTGGGATCAAGGTTTAGTAGTAATATCACCGCATCAAATTATTCTCATATTTTACTAGTAATGAAATAGTAACTAGGGTATAAATTTAACTAATTTTTGTTGTCGGGGGCAAAGAATAAATGAATGAATGACGATGATAATCACAAAATGGTAGAATAGATAGATTTGAAAATCATATATGTGTACTGCGGTTTTAAGAAATGTATGAAAGAGATCCTCGCAATAATGACTTATAATGACACAACTTATGTATCAGTGAAAAAAAGCCTGGATAAGAAAAATTCAGGCCCGTACGGCCCTGAACTATTTTCACTACTACAAAAGGAGTGTTGATTACTGCGAGGATCGCTTTCATACATTACAAATGGCAGAGCCAATCACATTTTCTGATATGCAAGATGTTGACTTTGTTTTAGCTAAATTATTTTGTAAATATGATTTCTGTTTCAAATGGAAATTTTGATAATTTTATCGAGGTTATATTTCTTAAGAACATTAATCTAATTAGTTTTTATAGTTTAAATGTTCTCGCTGTCCTCCGTCGGCATAGTTCCTATGTTATTTATTTTGGTAGAAAACTGTCGATAAATAATGTAAATTTTCACTTTTCAAGTATGGTGTATTTGCTCCGAGATTGACACAGAAAGACATAGTACGTTTCAAGTTGTGATAAACATATGTGGTTGAAGGTGATAGAGAATTTAATATTTTCTTCACATCAAAGATCATAGTAGAAATATCATCAAAGGGCCTGCTTTTCGCCCTATGAGACCTTCTGGTAAAAGGGACATGCAACTTCCGTTCTCCAAAGTAAAATTTGAAAAAAGCGTGTTGAATAAAGATTCACGGAAACCTGATTGAGTCGTGTTTATTCCCTGTCTTGTGACCAAACTTTCTCAGTGGTAAGGCAGTTGTCGAGGAGTTTGTAAAAAAGAAACATTTTGGTGACAAAAGTTGCAAAATTCGTCACAAACAGGCGTTATCTGTCCGTCATTCTCTTATAATTTGTTTGTTTCTCGTTCTGATCAGTTTTGTCAGTGTGCCATTCTTCATGGCATATGCAATTTAGAGTAAATCTGGGAGCCAATCAGGTTGCAAACATCAACAGGGATTTCAGAATGGATATAATAAGGTGATAAACCCTTTGTATCGCGTCTTGGTAGACGAATCATGCTTAGAAAGAGTATAACGTTTGTAACTTTTACAGTTTGAGATATCAAATGTTATGCTCAACAACGATTTGTCATTCCGACGATTCACGACGATCCACGGAAACGAACCGATAGGTCCCATTAACACTGCAAAGGGGTGACTAAAGGGTCAATTTGTGAAGAGTTAGGGAAATCAGTCAGATATAGCTGCGTTCCTTTTTTGTGACTTTCTGACCTATTATTTTACACGTGTGAATTGGGCCTCTTCTTAACATGATTGAAGAATTCTAGATTTGATAACGGACATAGCCTCAAAGGAGTGGTGAAGCAAATATTGACTTCCCGTTGACGTATATTTCATCCCAAGTCTACGCAACGGAAATTGTAAAGGAAATCCATGTCTTTTACCCGAGTTGATTATTGTGTCCTGTACCGGCTGGAAAGCTTTCAATTGACTAGGAAACTAAGAAACACTCTTTTTTTCTTGAACGCAGAATAACTTCAAAAATGCCGCGAGATCTTTTTTTAATCGCCAAAAAATAGTTCGGCACAATGATATTAAATTTGCAACTAAGGCAAAAGGGTAAAAGTAATTATTTTTTCCTTCAATAGGTCTGAACCAATTTTTCAATTTTTTCTAAGGAAGTGATTGCGGAAAACAAAGGAACTCGACATACAAAGCAAATCTAATTTATTTTCCATGATGACAGAATTTTCAGGCTCGGGCTTGCACACTCCGAGAAATACATTTGAACGCACATTGATTCTTTGGTTTTCTTGGTCACTTCAACTTAATTTCTTTTTGGCTCCCTCTCTCTCTCTCTCTCTCTCTCCCTCCCTCTCCCTTCCTCTCCCCCTCTCTCCCCCCCCCCC